CTTTGCCTTCTCTAGAAAGTTATCTCTGTTCTGGTCTGCCAGTTGTCTTCTTTCCAGCTTCAGGTGCTATGCTGATGTATCTTCATGTGTATACGCTTGCATTATCTTGATAGGACTTGAGGAAGGCGTAGAGGCGCAGGTATTTGGTAAGCCCTCCTGAACCGATTGCCAAAAAACACTGCTGAGTTAACATTTATAGGAATATCTTTCCTTCCTTCCTCCCTCTCCCCACCCTCCCTCCCTTTCTCTCTGCCAAAGTGACTGTGGTCAGGACACATGTATATTCTGAATATAACTGCACTGATGATAGAGTTGCCTACACAGCACACCCTTTATTGCAGTATTAAAGGTATCAAAGAATTTTATGTTCTTGGGCCTCCCCGGTGGCGCAGCGGTTGAGCGCTGGGTTGCGAAGCTGCCCAAGGCCTCTGCGGCGCCCGTATGATCCCCCGGCTGCTCCCCGGCCACCAGAGGAGGGTCCCACAGACCTCTCCTGCGGCCAGCTGCTCCCCTCAGCAGTGTACTTCACCAGTCTGCCTGCTCTGCTCTCTGCTCTGGCTCTGGTGAATTCTCTCACCCTCCCACGCTTCTGACTGTACCCAGTGCATGTATAAACAAAAACAAACAAATAAATAAATAAATGAATAAAATACGTGCCTCTTTAAAAAAAAAAAAATCTTAAAAAAAAGAATTTTATGTTCTTGAAAATAAATATTCTCTCATTCATGAGCTTTATAAAAATGGTATATTCTATGCAAACCTCAGATCATGCTTTCTTTTAAAAAACAGTATTATACGTCTAATACTCACTCATGGTGTTACATGAAGATGAAGTTCTTTCATTTCACTGACGTCCTATGTGAACATAAAATTACCATTATTTTTTTTTTAAAGATTTATTTATGCATGCAAGAACTGGGGTACAAGCCAGAGGTATGGGGGTGAGAGGATTTACCAGAGACAGAGTGGGGAACAGCACAGGCAGACTGACTGAAATACACCGCTGAGGGGAGCAGCAGGCGAGACAGGAGAGGTCTGCTGTGCCATGTGGGTTGCCCCCTGGCTGGCCCAGTATCAAACTTGTGCTGTAGAGACTGAGATAGCTTCATAGTGCTGTGCTTAACCCTTTGCGCCACCAGGGAGGCCCTACCACCACTTTTTTTTTCACACTTAGGATATTTGGAGATTTTTGGATGGTATGGGGTTTATGGGTTAATCATATTGTTGCGATTTTTGGAGTCTGTGGGTTTGGAGTGTGGGGGCCTTGGGTTCACTCTGGGAAAGGTTTCACCAGTGCTCCCTTTTCAGCGACACGTGGTGAGTTTCGCAGGCGAGTTTCTCCACGAGACGGAGACATTAGTTATATTTAAAGGTCAGGTTTATTAGGGAAAGGGACAGAAAAGTAAAGTACACTTGCATAGACACAAGAGGCCAGAAGAGCTGCCCCTCTGTAGGGAGGGGCTCATCTTCATAAGCCATCAGTTGGTTGCTGATTTGGGATAACTATGTAGAATTTGAATGGGACCGGAGATTCTACAATGGGCTCAATCTCCATATCTTTACCTGTGGATGGCCCTCGGATACCTGCTTGGATGTTATGCTTTGTAATGTAGGCATCGGTGCCTAAGGATCTTAGTTTCCTTAGCTGTGTGGATGGTTATGCTAATCTCTTCTACCCCCACCTCATCGTGTGAGGCAGGTTTCTGGTAAGGTGGCCCCTCCTTTTTCATTTTTTTTTTTCGATTCCTGTCCTCCATCATTGGGACACAACACACAACCTCTGATTTTAGGGAAGTGTTGCAGCTCCTCCTCGGACAGGCGCTTCCCGCAGGACTTTGTCACAATCTGACCAGTAGGTGGCGTCCTAGGACTGTTTTTCACTACAGCGCCTGCCTTCACTACACTCTGCTTTTAAGAGGCAGAATTAAAGGAAAGTCACTCCGTTGATCAGAAAGAAAAACAACTCTCCATACAGATAACTTCGATTCACTTATTCATTTCCTATTGTAATGACTGTGCATTTCATGCGCATTGTTTATCACATTCCCAACATTAACTGAACAGTCCCATGTAGATGCTTTTATAGGACCTGGTTTTTGCCACTCAATCGATTGGTACTAGACTGCATTCATTTGTACCAGGAATTGACGTCTGAAATTTTTTCTTCTTGGAGCCCCTTCTATGCCTAGGGTTGTCTGAGTCTGGGCAGACTTCCTATATTGTAAATAAAGGGTCTGTTTCCTAAAGTTTTTAGGAGTCAGAAAAAAACACCCAGGGGCCTCCCTGATGGTGCAGGGGTTAAAGTCTCAGCGCTATCTAGCTATTGCCAGCCACTGTGGCATGATTTGGATCCAGCGAAGGAGCTAACCTATAAATGATGCCTCATACCTCTCCTGTCTTGCCTTCTGCTCCCCTCAGCAGATCGACCTGTTCTGCTCCCCACTCTGCCTCTGGGGAATCCTCATCCAGGGGTGTTTGGCCTACACTGAGATGTCCTGGTAAAAGTAAAAATGGCAAGCGACCATACAAAAAGTGTGAGGGACACCAAAGAGCAAGGGAACCAGAATTCATTTCTTCCTCAGCTTCTGTTCCAGCTTCTTTTCTCACTCACCCAGAACCTTAGCATGAGGGTGGGAAAGACTGGGAGCCTGCACAGATCCATGGTGGGGACCCGCTACTAACTAGGTTATCTGGGTTGACAGCAAAGCCTCAGGGGCAAAGAAACTGAGATTCAGAGAAGTTCAGTAACTTGCCAAACGTCAGACTGTAGGGAACATAGCCGGGATTAGAACTCGCCTAGGTGCATGTCTCCACACTGTGCCATTCCGCGGAAAAACTACAAAGATGCTACAGGACTTTGTCCTTTCACATAGATGTAGGTCTAGGATGTGCAAGTATTAACCTTACACAGTCACGTATCACTTCACGACAGGGGCGCATTGACAAGTCTGGCTTTGAACAATATTGCTGCTGTGTGAACATCAGAGAGTGGAATTATACACTCTTGGTGGGATAGTCTTCTGCACACCTAGGCTGTGTGATGTGGCCTGGTGGGTCCCTGCTGTAATGCTGTCTATTGTGATGCCAAGTGACTCCTGATTGTGTATTTTCCTTCATATTTGATGACAAGACGGTAAAGTGGCACTTCTGACACCAGATTTACCCACTTTGAAAAGCAAATTTCAGGGCCTCCCCGGTGGCGCAGTGGTTGAGCGCTGGGTTGTGAAGCTGCCCACAGCCTCTGCAGCGCTGGTTCAATCCCTGGCTGCTCCCCAGCCACGGCCTCCGGAGGAGGGTCCCACATGGTGCGCAGACCTCACCTGCCGCCTCCCTTCAGCAGTGTACTTCGGCCCTTCTGCCTGCTCTGCTCTCTGCTCTGGCTCTGGTGAATTCTCTCACCCTCCTGCACTTCTGACTGTACCCAGTGCTTGTATAAATAAATAAAAATAAATCTTAAAAAAAAAAGAAAGAATGCAAGATATATTAATAATTAAAAAAAAAAAGAAAAGCAAATTTCAAAAAAGAAAAAAGAAAAGCAAATTTCACCAGTTTCCTTTCAAGGGATGGGATCTCATGAGGCAGTAGGGCCCTTGGCCCAGGAAGTCAAGGTGAGGCCCAGGCTGGGGAAATACCTCCAGTTAGAACAAAATCTATGGCTGCTGATGGACTGTCACAAGTGTCATTGTCACCTGTCTCTCGGAGACCACAGGGGCAAGTGAGACTGACTCATTCCTGCTAACGCAGTTTGCTCACGGAACTCTGATGGCCGGCAGGACTTTGGGAAATGTGCCTGCTTTTTTAGGCACATTCACCTTTCTTATAAAGTTCTAATCCCTCCTTTTCTTTGACTTTATCTTCCACAGTATTTTTGTTTTGCATATACATGAAAGATATTAGGGTGAGAAATTTAATCTATGTGGACAGTTGGCCAACTAATTCACCCCCGTAATGAACCGCTGGCCTGCTGTAAGCACCGTTTTAGACACCCAGGGTATAGAAACAAGAAAGAAACTCTTTCCCAGGCTGATGATAGATTTGGTTAGGGCTGAGAGATAATATACAAACACTAAATACATAAGAAAGGTAACTCAGATAAGCATGGATATATTCAGGAAAAATAGAGCATACTGGTGTTTGTGAGGCTACTGAGAATAGAGCAGAATTATTTCTTAGACACGGAATTCTATTTAATGAGCATTTATTAAGTACCCATTGTGCTAAGCATTTGGCATACAGACAAAAAGTCAAGCATAGTATTTGTAGTCTACAGCAGGAACAGATGGGAAAGCAAATTCCAACCCAAATGGGTTGAAAAGTTCACAATCTTTTGAGCAATTAGGGGAAATTTCTCTGGATAACGTTGACATTAAAATGTGAATGACATAGGGCCTCCTTGGTGGTGCAAGGGTTAAGATGCAACCTATGAAGCAATCCGCAGCCATTGCAGCACGAGTTCAATTCTTGGCCAGCAACCCACATGGCGCAACCCACACGGCGCAGAAGACCTCTCCTGACTCGCCTGCTGCTCCCCTCAGCAGTGTACTTCCATCACTCTGCCTGTTCTGTTCCCCACTCTGTTTCTGGTGAGTCCTCTCACCCCCCACACCTCTGGTCTATACCCCAGCTCTTGAATGCATAAATAAAACAATCTTTAAAAAAAATAAAAAATGATAAAATAAAATAAAATGTGAATGACAACAAATGTTCTATCTGACTTGAATGCAGACAGCAAAATAGAGACCCCACTGGCTTTAGTCATGGGAATTGTTTGGTTGGAAATAGTCACCTTCTCTGATCCCTGGATTAGAACCTTAAGCCTGTGTTTGTTCATTACACAAGAATTCTGGATCCGCTTCTCAGAGGCATTCAAAACATGCCAAGCTGGTGTTGCATAAAGACCAGGCTGTGCATTCAGCAAATATAACCTGGTGGGCAAAGCCCTGGTCACTCACACGCCGAGAGGAAGTCCACGTCCTGCTGCCTCCAAGTGAATACAAGCCATGGACATCGAGAGGGTCAACTCCATGGACTTCGGAGAATTTGTGGACGTGTTTGGGAATGTCATTGAGAGATGTCCTCTGATTGCAGCGGCTATTTGGTCCCAGCGCCCATTCTCTGACCTGGGAGATTTAGAGAAGCACTTTTTTGCCTTTATCGACACTCTACCAGAGTCAGGTAAGGCTTCCATACTTGACGCTGAGATTCTGTGGCAAGGGATTGCAAATGTTTATCAAAATATTTTTAGGCATTTTAGTCTACTTCCTCAAAATTGATATATTTATTTAGCTCTTTTATTGTAAGCTTCAGTGGTTTCATCAGGTTTATTAAATGGGAGTCAAGTATTTGTAAGGCTTCAGCAAAAGCAGAACACACGCTGGCACAGGTAAAGAGACTGTTAATATAAAAGCTGTGAGGTGGGAGGAAAGAGAAACAGGTCTGACTCCTCCTCAGGCTTCACAGTGACTTGGAGGCCAAAGGTCTCATTGGGACTGTCCCTGTGCTAGAGAGGAGTCACACAGTATCAGAGTATCTTAGGAGCCCAGGGGGGAAAGCAAATGGCTGACATTTTTAATCAGAATGGGCCAGTTTGCACCAGACTGCAGAGGAAAGTAAATTCATTCAAACCAGCAACTCCCTAGGGGAGGGGAAGAGGAGAGAAAAAAAATTTGAAGAAAGAGAAAGAAATTGTTGATTTCCTCTGGATAGAAAGAGGAAAGGAGGCACTTTGGCTGTGTGTGGCGCTGGGGCCATGGAGGTTGAGGCCAACCCCACATGACTCAGAATGACGCACAGCCTCACAGGGGTTCAGAGGCTGAGGGTCAGCCCCAGCCAGCCTCCTGGGCTGTCCTGGACACTCTTCAGAGACTCCTGGATCAAGCTGAAGGGACAGGGAGGGGCACAGGCTGCCTTCACCAAGGGGTCTCCTAAGAGATCTGGGCAGGGAGGGAAAGCTGCTCTTCCATAACGAGACCAACAGTCCCACCTATCAGTCCAGGGCTTTGACATTGGGGAAGGTCTCCAGTCATCATATAAATGTCTCCAAAATAAGGAAGTCATTTTCATTCATCTTAGGTACATCTAGGAGGATAATTACAAAATCAAGCTGACAAAAATGCTAGGGCCATGTTTTAATGGATTAGCTGAGAGGAGACAGATCTCACAGGGCTCCAAAGCTGAACACCGGGGCTCCACCACAGGCTCAGGCTCTAGGGGGAGCTCCTGACTGGTAATTCACAGGCACAGTCCAACTCTACCTTGAGTGAAGTGAATCCAGTTTGTCAATACAAAGCCTGCAGCCCAAGCTGGAAAGAGCAAGAGGCCACTGGTAGTTCAAAAGCTCACAGGACAATGGAGGAGGCCAAATGCAAACCTTCCAAGCCAGAGGGGAAGTGACTTGTAAAAGGTATAAACACCTTAGGAATGCCTGTTTTTCTATCAGGAAAAATAAAAGGAGGGAAATCCTATGACCTACTACCAAAGAGTTGGAAGAAAATCTAGTATCGCAAGGATAATTTAAATGTTGTATTCATTGATTTATCCAGTTACTTAACCCACATTTATTTAGTGTTTACTCTGTGCTAGGAACTTAGATAATAAAATAGAAATTTCCCTATTTCTGTCTTCTTTCCCATTACCAGTCACCCCAACCAGTTTGACCAACAGTTCTAGTTAAAGTTAGTTAAGGTCTAGTTAAGGTTAAACCCAACCATAATCATGAGCAAAGTGGACCTCAGGGCAGGACTGGCATTTGTTCCCAAAGCTTATATTTGATGGATCCCTTGTATTCCAGCCAGTGTCAGAATCCCACATTACTTGGTAAATAAAATATTGGGACTTATTAAAGGTTTGCTGCGTGCATGAATAAAATTTGTCCTAAGATGTTGAAATATGATGGAGTCTGGCATTACCCTTTCCCCACATTTTTTAATTGGGGTGACTTTAGTTGTGGGTCTAGAAGGAGCTGAAGCCCCTTAGATGGTCATTGGCTTCTGCACTATGGTAGAAGTGCACTATGGTAGAAGTATGGTTCTTCTTGGTAGAAGAACTGGGGTGTAGGCCGGAGGTGTGGATGTGAGAGGATTCACCAAAGACAGATTGTTGGGGGTGGGGCAGAACAGGCAGATATACTGAAATATTCTGCTAAGGGGAGCAATGGGTGAGACAGAAGAGGTCTGCTGCGCCATGTGGGTCAGCAACCTGGCCTGGGATCGAACCCATGCTGCAGTGGCTGCCAATAGCTTGATAGCACTGAGACTTAACCCCTAGGCCACCAGGGAGGCCCTTGGCTTCTGCACTATTCACAATTCTTTGTCTTCCTGTTGGTGGAGCTTGCTTCTCAGTTTTGTGCTGTTGTCCCACTTACAGAGAAAGGCAGCTGGGAGCAGAGCATCAATGCTGTCTGGGCACTGCTCTATATCTAACCAACATAATGATATTAGGTAGGTGATATTAACAATAATAACAATAGCTAAAATGAATGTAACCCTTACTATCAGCATTTGTTAACTGATCCTCTTAATAACCTTACAAAGTAAGTACTCTAGTTTTAACTAGCACTGTACAGATGAGAAAACTGAGACAAAGATTAAGTAACTTATTTAATCAAGGACACACAGTTAGAAAGTAGAAGAATTAGGATTCAAACCCTGACTTAATCCAACAGCTTTGGACAAATTTTCCAGTGAATGAAAAGCAAAGTCTAGAAACGGTTTCTAGAGGTTTAATTTATTCATTCCCTAATATATCCAATTAACACTAACAGTTGATGTCCCATATCCCATGTTTGTTTGTTTAAATATTCAAATAAAATGGGATTGACTGCTTATTTGCTTTTTACTCTGTGGACAGTAAGGAACAAACAAGGGGTATCAGTCTTTGAATCCTAAAACTAAAAGGAATCTTAAAGAGATATTCAGGATATGTGATCCCCCTGGTTGAGGATTTGTTTCAGATGCTATAAGAAACCCTGTACCTTTAACAGAAACTGGAAATCTTGCTTATAGAGTAAACTAAGATTAATAATCCATTTAAATTAAGCTATGATGATTATTGACCAGTAGGTGGCAGTTCAGGATTAATATTTGACTCTGGCACTAATGAGCAAAGAACCCTTTCAAGCTAGACAATTTCTAAACTCCAGGCATGGAAATGGCAATAGTAGACAGAAGGTTGAAACACACACACAAGCACACACGCATGCACACACACACACACACACACACACACACACCCCAATATCTTGTACCAATTTAGTGCTGATTTGTGTTACAAACCACAGTTATCAAACTATGATAATAGAGTTAATTGTGCCTCCTTATGGCATTTTGGAATTAGAATAATGCTACAATTCATTATTTAATGGTTACTTCAGAACATACTTGTTGAATGAATGAAGGAGTTAGATACTAAAAATTCCCTTAAATGCAAGCTACAAGGTATGAGATGAAGCTATTAATATGTGTTCAGTCAAGGGTCTCCTGACGACACAGGGGATAAAGACACACAGCTATCAAGCTTATTGCCAGCCACTGCAGCATGAGTTCCATCCCTGGCCAGGAAGCTAACCCACATGGCACAGAAGACCTTTCCTGTCTCGTCCGCTGCTCCCCTCAGCAGTGTATCTCAGTAGATCCACCTGCTCTGCTCCCCACTCTGTCTCTGGTGAATCCTCTCACCTCCCACACCTCTGGCCTGTACCCTCCTCTTGTATGCATAAATAAATAAATCTTAAAAAAAAAACAGGGCCTCCCTGATGGCACAAGGAGTTAAGATGCAACACTATGAAGCTATCCTCAGCCACTATATCATGAGTTCAATCCCCAGTCAGGGAGGTGACCCACATGGCGCAGCAGACCTCTCTTGTCTCTACTGCTACTCCCCTCAGCAGTGTATTTCAGTAGATCTGCCTGTTCTGCTCCCCATTTTCTTTGGTGGATTCTCTCACCACCCCCACCTCTGGCTTATACCCCAGTTCTTGTATGCATAAATAAATAAATCTTTTAAAATATATAAATGAAAGTGAGAGGTGATGGTTGTAAGGCTGGTTTTTGGCAGGAGAGCTAGAGACATGTGGCTGGATTCCCAGAATAGATTTTAGAGTTAAAGCCAGTGTGTCTTTGAAAGAATTTGCTGGGGGAAGACAGATCAGTAATGAGGAAAATTAAGGATAATGCCTAAGATTTTAGTGTGAGCAACTGGGTGAGTGGTGGTACTGCTTTCTATAATGAGAAAGACTTCAGAATTGAAAGGATAGGATGAAGAAAAGAGCTTCCTAAATCTGAGATGCCTACTAATCATCCAAATGAAAATGTTGAGTGCTCAGTTGGACCATAATAAAAGAACTCGATGGAAAACAGAGCTAGATAGGGCCTCCCCGGTGGCGCAGCGGTTGAGCGCTGGGTTGCGAAGCTGCCGCCGGTTTGATCCCCGGCTGCTCCCCAGCCACCGGAGGAGGGTCCCATATGGCGCGCAGACCTCTCCTGCCGCCCGCTGCTCCCCTCAGCAGTGTACCTCGGTCCTTCTGCCTGCTCTGCTCCTCGCTCTGGCTCTGGTGAATTCTCTCACCCTCCCGCGCTTCTGACTGTACCCAGTGCATGTATAAACAAAACAAACAAACAAAATAATAAATAAATAAATAAAACATGCCTCTATAAAATAAAAAAAAAAAACAGAGCTAGATAGAACCTGGGTGTCACCAAACAATTGGTGGTTTTTATAGGAGCTGGATGAGAACCCTAAGGATCAGTGTTAATAGAGGAGGGAAGAGCTGTGAGTACTGAGTCTAGGGTACTTCAATGTTAATGAGCTGGAAAAGCAAGAGCCAATTATGAAAGGAGGCAAGTGACAGTTATCTGTCAAGAAGGAGAGACAACCATGTGACATGTTCCTGAGAGGTTAAGAGAGAAGAGCACAGAGCACTGGTCATTGGACTTGGGCAAGACGATCAGCTGTGACTATGATGCGTGTGGACTGATTGGTGGGTGGGGCTGAAAGCTTAATAAAAAGAACCTGGAATGGCAGGGGAAGAAGTGGAAACACTGATTAGACAACTCTTTTGAGGAGCTTTGCTGTAAAGAAGATCAGAGACATAGGAAGGAACTTAGAGGTCAACAGGGAATCAGGGAGGGTTTTAATTTTACGGTGTGAGTGATTCTAAGGCATGTTTGTGTGTTAGTGAAGGTAAGATGGGGAGTATTTGAAGTGATGTATGAACATGTAGTCTTTGAGATGGAAAGGGCCTGGCCTCAAGAACACAAGTGAAGAGGTTTAATTGGAAGAAGGGACAGGTGACACACTGTATCAGGAGGGAGAAAATTTCAGTGGGAATATATATATAAAGGGATGTTGATTGTCTGCTCTTTGGTGGCTGCCTACTCTGTTCTTCTACTGAAACAATTGTCAACTCTGGGCCAGGAACTCTTCTAAGTGCAAAGATCCAGGTCTTGTGGTTACAGCAAATAATATATGTCCACACCTATATTTCTAGGTGTGCCATATAAATGGCACAGGTAGTAAAGTCTACGATTTTAGGAAAGACTGGGGGGCAGGGGAGAAAGGCAGCATGGACACAGCCCTGACAAATGGGAACATTCAAATGGCTTGGCTGGCACTTGGGCATTCTGGGTGGGGAGACCTGAAGTATGGGAGACAAGGAGGTGAGAAGTAACTGCCCCCTTGGGGGATTTGAACCAAGACTGGATGTGCCTTCAGGTTGTATCCATGGGGGGGGAACTCAGTCTTTGTTGCAGCTGGAAAAGCCTGGGTGGGTGCCATCCTGGGCCGTACCAAAGGGATGGTGGTTTGGGGCAGTGAAGAGAGTCTTTGGCTGGATGGGCCAGGCTCTATTTCTTCCCAGCCACCTATCATTTCTAGCCCCCTCCCCTCCCTACTTTTCCTTTTCCTCTGCAGCTGAGGGTGTGTGAGTGAGTGTGTGAGTGTGTGTGTGGGGGTGTGTGTAAATTCCAGGTTCCTCTTCTTTTGTCACTTTGCTCTGACCTTTTCTCAGTTTCCTTTCTCTCTTCTCCCTCTCCTCTTCCCAAACAGTGGAAAACACAAGCTCAATCTTAGGCAAATATTAACCCAAGGCGATATTTTCAAGAGAGGGGACTGAGGAGGAGAGAGAGAAGCGTGGTACAAGGCCTGAGGGAAGGCGAGGGATCGCCCTGCTCCGCCACCCTTGGGTAGAAAGTGGAGGCCGGTCGGGGCGGGGAGGGACAGACTGTACCCCGACGCCGGGTGTCCACCACTCCCTGCCTCGCCGAAGCTTAAACTGAACTGGCCCTCTGTGGAGTAAGAAATGGCAGAAAGGGAAGCCGAGGGAGAGAGGGAGTCCTAATAGAAAAGTGGGTCTCGGCCACCCTCCCACCCCCCCGCCCCCAATGAGCCAGGGAACAGAGAATAGCCAACAAGTTATTTTTTCGGATTTTCCAACGTGGATACGCGAGGCGGGGACGCGGGGGTTCCTAGCGGGTCTGGACCTGTGGAGCCGCCTAGTACTGGCAGTTCCACCACCACCACCACCCCGCCCGCCCCAGCCAGGAGGCTTTGCGGGTTCAAGGTCTGGGCGGGTGCAGAAGGCTTTCCAACTCGGCTGTGTGGCGAGCCTGGGAAGCGGCCGCGTGCCACAGCCAAGCCCAGGCCTAGGACTTGGGGGGCGGGGGGGAGGGGCGCAGGTAGGGAATTTAACACCTACGTTTCACACCACCCGAAAGGGCTGGACGCGGGAAGCTGGGAAGAAACACTTGGCGTCTGCAGTGCCCGAGGGCCAGAGGACACGAGAGGGCCTCGTGCACGGTGCTATTGCAGAGATGGAACTATTGGGGACTGAGTTTCGTTTTAAACTCCCACTTTTTATAGGCACTGGCTGAAAACGCCTTCGATTGGCATCTGGGGTACAGTGCCAGTCAGCTGCGGACTAAGTGCCCTCGGGCAGGCCACTCACCCCTTTCTGCGTCTCTCTTAAATAGAGGTGTCCCCTTACCCCCAGTTCTCCCTACTTCTCGGAATGCTGGTGTGTGAGTTTGATGGTGAAATTCCGATCATCCTTTAATTGGACAGAAACTATAAGGTTTGTGTATGCGGGGATTTATGCCATAACATAATTAAAGGATCCCTCTTTTTACTAGAGCCCCATGCCTATTTCAGGCACCAGAGTCAGATGCTTCCAGCCCCCACCTCAGCCCAGTCCACGGAGTTTACTACGACTAATAATATAACTGTTTATTGAACGTTTGTTATCATTAGGCGCAGTGTTTTAAGTAAATGAATTGTGTCTAATCCTCACAACTACTCAGCAAGCTAGGTGTTATTACTCATTGCACCAATTATGGCTCCCTAATTGCTATATCTGAAATCTTGCCCAGAATTAGACTGAGGAGTCTAATCCTCTCTTTAGAGAGCTAAGCAAGGTGATTGGGCTGGGCTCAGGGAAACCCCCTGGATTAGAATTTTAAATCCCAGATATCACAGCAGGAGGTCCAATTTTAGGCTGGCGAGATTATGAGATGCTATCTTCCAAGAAAACTTCCCCCCTGCCCTCCTCTCTTCTGTAGCTACAGCCAGAAAAGGGGACTAAACCTCAGACAGGGTGAGCGGTGAGTGGGTGCTATGAAGAAAGCCACTTTCAGTCAAAGGGCTGTGGAATTCCTGCAGGAATGGGCTTCTTGGCGGTTAATCATCTGCGAGGCTCTTTGGAAGCCTGATTCCTGAAGCCCAGAATTCACACTTCAGGTCACAAAATTCTGGGCATTTATTTGTCAAGCCCCAGGGTGGTTATCCCCGTGGACCAACCCCTTCTCCTTTGCAACCGAACGAAACTCATTCGGCGGCTTATGCAGGAAGTCTTGGGGTCCTCGTGTCCGGCCCTCAGCGACATCAAAGCCCCCCGAACAGCAAAGGACTTTAAAAAGATACGAAATCCTGGAGCTCCTTATCGCATCCCTTCTCCCTCCCGAGCAAGTCGTAAATTCCGAGCCTGAGCGGCCTCTCCCCTAGGCTCATCGTGCCCCAAGGTCTCAAAGGCCAAACTTGTCACTTCCCGCCCCGCCCCTGGGTCCTGGCCGGGCCGAAAGAAGCCGGGACGGAGGGGCGCGAGGTCCGGGACACGTTTGAAGGGCGGGCGCTCCGCGCTCTCCCGCGCCGGCCGGGCCCCTCTAGCTGCTCCTCCTCACCACCTGCGGACCCTTCTTCGCTGCTGAAACCCTCTTCCCGGCCGGGGCGGGGGGTCCGGCTCCTCCCGCCTGCAGCCTCGCGCGCTTCCCGCAGCGCGGAGCGGGCGCGCTAATGCTTCCCGGCCGCGTGTCTGCTTCTCCGCAGGCCAAGAGGGCATCCTGCGCTGCCACCCGGACCTGGCTGGCCGCGAGCTGCAGCGGGGCACGCTCACGGCTGAGTCGCAGCGGGAACAGAGCGGCGCGGGGCTCGCCAGCCTGGGCACGGACGAGAGGCTCCGGCTGGCGGAGCTCAACGCGCAGTACCGCGCGCGCTTCGGCTTCCCCTTCGTGCTCGCCGCGCGCCTCAGCGACCGGGCGGCGGTGCCTCGCGAGCTGGCCCGCCGGCTGCACTGCCCGCCAGCGCAGGAGCTGCGCACCGCCCTGGGCGAGGTGAAGAAGATCGGCCGCCTGCGTCTCGCCGACATCCTGGGAGCCGACCCAGCCAAGCTGTAGCAACCGAGCTAGCGCAGAACCCGCTCGCAAGGCCAGACGCTCCGAGGCCGCGGCGCTGCGCCGTGCGCCCGGGCCGGGAGTTTGATGCAGGCCTGGAACGGCTTCACACACCGCACTAAGGAAGGGAAGAGTTGAGGCGATCCTAGGAATAATGAGCCCCTGTGTTCACCCACCCGCAAGCACATGCTTGTCCAAACCATCTATATAGTTTCGTGCTTTACCCCCGATTTATCCAACTCACTGCTTCAACTCTTCACTCCTTTTGCGGTCTGTGGATCTCACCAGCCCTTGAGGATTCCAAAGCGCCCATCCAGCTTTTGTTGGATCCCCACCCTCTCCTGTTAAGCCCGAATGGCATAGCAAAATGGACGGAAAAAAGGAATCTTTTATCCTGCAGCGGTTTGTCTGTTTGTTTTTTCTTTTCCCACCTCATTTACTGTACCGAAAATTTACATGTGAGCGGAACGGGCTTTCTCGCTCCGGGGTAACTACTGGAGCCTAAGCAGGAAGGCAAAGCTCTTTTCTTGTCCCAGGAGTCGGGAGAGCTGCGCGTGGGGCACGGTGGGCAGGGGAGAGCCTTGTGATGGGCTGGCGTTGGGAAGGCGCTCCACGGAGGGCGGGTGGAGTAGCTGGACACTCGCTCCACAGAGGGGTGAGAGCGTCCCCAAGCTGGCAGGGCCTGAAGGTCAGGGGCGGGCGGACCTCTGCCTCTCCCGGAGGTCGACTCAACAGAGTTGGCTCAGCAAAACCACAGACTGCTCTGCGAACCCCATCAGTCATTTAAAAAAAATTTTTTTTTTTTAATGCTCACTGAGTAGTACTGGGTATTGTGAATCCGAGAATGAAGATGAGACATTACAGCACCGATAAAGCAGATCATGGAGGAACATTGGGGCTCACAGAAATCTTTCTGGCCAGGGTAGCCACCTCTGGAGAGCATGTTAACGCCGGCAGGAGGGGACTGGGCAGCTCCCTACCCTGGTGCCCAAAATGTCCACTAGTGCAGGAGGAGCCCACCACTTTCTCTCTCACACCCACACAGGTATGTCTAACCAACCCCAAAAATGCCGGTGGTGAGGCTTCTGTTGGCAAAGGAGGAACAAGCCATGCACATATCTATCTCCATGCAGATAGATTAAAAGGTGAAGCAGTATTGGCTCTTTCCAAGACAAAAACCTCCACTAGTGACCAGTCCCATGTGCAACAACAACAACAACAACAACAAGAAAAATTCTTTCCATTAAAAAATATGTGGCTGCACCCTTGACCTGGGGCTAATCCGTAGGAAGAAGCCACTCTGGACACACCAGGAAGCTCACTCCACTTTCCCATCTTACAGGAGAGCCCTACTACTGGCAAGCGTGAAGACCCAAGGCTGGAGGTGGAGGAGGGAGGGGTGCCAAGGCAGGGAGCTGCAGCCACCAGCCTCCCTGGAGACCAGTGCCAGGGTCTCTTCTGGCTGGGCCTGAGCCAGATGTCTACTCAACACGTGGAAGCACCAACTGTTCACCACTGAGTGGCCCCCATGACTCAGTTCGTATGCCCTGAAACCCTGAGACAGTGGTAGGGCCCTAGGGCCCGGGGTTAGACGCCTGTTTCCCTCCAGCCAGGGGAACATGGGGACTTTCCTGACACAGACAAGATAACTGGTGGTTGGCAAAGAGTTTTCTGGCCCAGGATACGTGTACCACAGCTTGGGCCTGCGACTCAGAATAAAGCACTATGTTCAAGGCACCCTGTCCACTGGAGTGAGTCCAGTTCTTAAATGACCCCCCCCCCCACTCCATGCAAAGGTAGCAGGACTAGCCCTGGTGGAGATTCCCTGTGGTATTTTGGAAAGATCTGGACTTCCAGGGAAGATCCGGGTGTCTCCAATTGCAGTTACAATTAAAGGGTTCAAAGCTTGTCGGGGAAATTGTTTATTTCTGCAACAGGGGGTATGAGTAGGAGAAGGCTTTGGGTCCACCCCTTCAAAGGAACTGGAGGGTGGGAGGGGGAGGATTAGCTAGCTGAACCGTGCCTCCTACAGAGTGGCCTGAACACTTGCAGTTATGGTGCGGAGAGCAGGCGGAGGCCGGGAAAAGTCCTGGCAAAATGCACTGGTGCCTCTGCTTTTCTTCTCCGGTAGGAAGAAACCACCTGTGATTGCTGAGGTTATCACCGTCCAGCAGCGACGCGCCCAGGGTTTCATCCACCTGGGCCTGGAGAAGTCTTTTCTCTCGTGCGCTCAGGGGTGCGCAGGACGCGGGAGACAAACCCCGACGCAGGGATCAGAGCCGCGCGGGCGGTCTTGGATCTCGGCGAGCGCACCACCCTGGGGGCGGTGGGGGCTGGGGGATTTCAGGGCGAGCCCAGCGAGTGTAGGAGCGCAAAATTGATTGGTGGAGATTTTACCGTGATTAATTAGTACTTTACTTACAAATTCGTTTGAAAAAAAAAAAAAGCGCACGATGGCAACGCTAAGAATTTGAGGATGAGGAAGTGATACCAGTTTCTGGAACCCTTCAACCCATACATGTACGGATTTTGCTCAAGTAGGAAGCTGCTTCTGTAATTTTCGCATCCCCCTGGAATGGCCAAACCCAACCCGGCCAATCCTTCCAGAAATGGACCGGAGTCACAGCGACCGTGGCGCTCATCTATGTAATAGGAAAGTTGAGTGGGGAGCCTCCCCTTTTTTTTTTTTTGCAAAAAGTTAGTCTTTTTGGTGTGTGCACCCTCCTCCAAATGTCTCTGGACAGGGATATGCAACGAAGGGAAGGGAGAGATAAAACAACGCAATTACCTTGCATAATCTTTACTCCTTTTAAATCATTACCAGCCATCAGTCACAAACTATGGATTCCCGTTCAAAAATTTGAAAAGAGCTATATCCTCAGAACGTATATCCTATGGGACAAAAGTAGATGGATATTTTCGCTGGCAACTGGAGAAAAATCTGGGATGGAATTTATGGACAGCTCACCATTCAGTAAACGAACATTGCATTTAGCAGGTGCCTGTGAAAGGGGGAAATTAAGAGGTGGAAAGTTGTCAGAACTGTCCCACCAGCAGAACCTGATTGTTCTGGTGTGGGGGTGGGGAGTGTGGATTCCCAGAATTGTACTAGTTGGTTTTGTGTTGGGAAGGCAATGTTTCCAGGGTGACATTAACAGGCTTAGTAATAATTAACATCTGTGCAGAGCACTATGGGTTGCAAATAATCTATATATAGTAGCTCATTTAATTTTAGTGGCTGGAACAGCTAGCTGTGTGACCTGGGGACAGTCATTGAATTCCTCTGGGCTTCAGATTTCTCCTTTGTAAAATGGAAGAGTTACACAGAGCTCTGAGTTAGTTCCCAGCTAGGGAGAGTAGCTTCTAAATGGTCCAATGGATTCGATGAAAGTTGAACCTTTATCTCTCTGAGTGCCTGCCCTCAGCTACATAAAGCCCACTGTGTAGGGCTTCCTAGGAACATATTTTCATATGATAAACAAAGGTCACTCTAGGCACGAGAGGTTAGTGAGTGAACAAATGGTAATTGAAGGTCCTCCATGTCAAAGCCACGTGGTAACATTTGGTTTCTAGGGATCTGAGCGCCTGGCTCTCCCCTCCCCACCCTCTTGCTGAGTGAAACCCAAAGTCCCTCCCTCTGGGAGCCTTAATTCATTCTCTGTGTCATCCACCGCACATTGTCCACAGACTCAAATTTCAGAAGAAAATGATGACCACCAGGTATTTTGTATTACTTTCACTCAATGTGCAAAACCAAATTTCTAAACCCAAATATTACCCTTTCTCCTAAGACTCTTGATTTCTTCAGTCTGCTAGCTTTGAGAATATATTTTGGATAGAAGAGCAGAAAAAAAAATGTATTCCTAGCCGAGGATCAGAAAACTTGGTGGCTCCTCCAAAAGAGGAGAGAGGTGATTGTTTCCTCATTCTCCAGCACCCTGGTCACTGAGCGGCTAAACTCCAGTCCACCAATGAATTTCCACAAATTTGGGAACTTTTCCTCATGTACAGAGGACTAGACACTCAGCTGCACAGGGGGAATACATTCTTCACTCCTTGTTCAGGCAGGTGGGGACACATCTGTTCCGGAGGAAGAAGTGATTGAAACCTGAACTGTGGGCAACTGCAACCTTTCCTTGGTGTTCAGGGCAAACACCGAGGGCTCTGTTGTGACCGAATGGGCTGGGCTGGCTATGGATGCTGGGGAGTTGCCACAGAAAGGACACTGTGATCAGTTCCTTCCCAGAAATTTTAGCTGAGTTGGCTGTGGCAGAACAGTACCAGGTTTGGGGAGCAAAGCACCCATTATTGAGTCTTACTTTGTGCAAAGGGGTTGCTGATTGAGCGCAATGACTGAAGAACTCCCTAAACTCCAAATTGAGTAGCGATTGAATCATTTCTCCATACAATGTAGATTGTTGAGTAGAATAATTTTTATCAGAAAACATTCTCTTCCTTCTTACTCTTCCTCAATTGTCCTGGGAATTCAGGTCTTAGGATAATTTCCATGATCTAAACAAGATTCAGAAAGTAGGCTTGCATGCTAAGGTGGATAGGGACAGCCTGCCCTACCTGGGTTACAAGGGTCACAGGCTCCCCAGTTTCCAGGAGCCACAAATATGGGGAAAAGCAGGGTCCCCAAGCCCAAGCAAACACCAGAGACCTTTGAGCAGGGAGGGAGCCCTGTCAATGATCTGTGGATTCAAGGAGTGTCTCATCTGCCTAGTGGAGCTGCCCTCCCCTTCCGGTGCCTCCTGTTCCCCATCCCCCTTTGCACCCCTACTTTTGCCACCTGCGGAGAACCTGGAAGCCCCCACCCTCTCTGAAGAATGTGGACTGGCCTCTACACCATCAGTGGCAAAAAGATGTCTCTTTGATGATTGAGTCATGGCTGCCCTTATAGTTTTCCTGACACTTTATTTACCTGGGTCTTTTTCTTCCTGTCTCCTACCCTTAAAAGTCAGCTCTAGCTCTGGTTACATGGGTATCACAGTTCCAGCTCT